ATTTTGGCCATCAATACTTATTTTTACATTTTCCAATATTTTTAAAAATTTCAAAAATATCCTTGGGCAAAAATCAATTTTTTAAACTATTTTTTCATTAATTTTCAATTTCATTTGAATGTGATTTGTTTAAGAGTAATGATCCTATGAGACCATCCCACACCCATATGTGTAGGACCTCAAAGGATCACCATTAAATTTGGCACAGATCTCTAAAAAAGTTATCACATGGGTGTAGGGCTTGATTTTTTTAGAAATTTTTGTCGAATTTAATGGTGATCCTTTAAGGTCTTACACACATGGGTGTGGAAGGGTCTCATAGGATCATTACAACGTGTTTAATCATGCTTTAAATGTAATTTGCATTTTTTTTTGTATTTTTTTAACACTTTTTGACTGCCCGATACTTGCCCTTGGCCTAGTTAGGTCGAATTACCGGTTAGTATTGAGTAACCGGTACCGGCTGGTTTCTGAGGCCATTTCAATTTTTCGAACACTAATATCAACACAATCTATCAAATCCGTTGTAGACACTTTTTTTTTTTTTTAACAGAAATGCGCCTTTTAAAAAAAGATATCCCATTGTTTGCATTATAATATTATTATGATAAACATAATAATGACCTTATCTATAATACCCATCTCTCACCGTTATTAAGTAATTGTTTGAAAAACTAGGGAAAATTACGTATATATCCATTATATTTTTCGTTATTATCAAAATACCAAATACTTTCCACTATTACTAGAATGTCTGTTTTTTTCACTTTATAACGATTTTTTTTAAAAAAGAAGTTTTTACACTTTTTCGGTTGTTCAACAACCGAAATAGGTGGAATTTCGGTTGTTCAACAACCAAAAATGACCCCGGAAGTTTTATGGTTCATCTTCTCAGCTCTCTACGTACATGCTATGTGAATGCTTAAAAAAAAGAGTTTTACCCATTTTTCGGTTTTTGAACAACTGAAATGGTATTAATTTCAGATGTTGAATAACTGAAATTAGGACTGCGTATTCCAACAAGTTTTTGGAAAACGTTGTCCTATTTTCAGTTGTTCAACAACCATAATGTATTGTTTCGGTTCTTGAATAATTGAAAATAGACATGAGGTTAAAAGTTTGAATTTTTCAATTTTGGTTGTTCAAGAACCGAAACAAGATATTTTCGGATATTGAACAATTGAAAATGTCTTAATTTCGGATGTTGAATAGCCGAAATTAGGGCAGCATATTACAACAAGCTTCTGAAAAAAACAATCCTAATTTCGGTTGTTGTACAACCGAAAATATGACCTTTTTCGGTTGTTCAGCATCCTTTATGTCTTGTTTTCGGTTTTTGAACACCCGAAAATAGACTGAGGGTAAAAATTTGAATTGTCATTTTTGGTTGTTCAAGAACCAAAAAAAGACATTTTCGGATGTTGACCAACCGAAAAATGTCTACATTTCGGATGTTGAACAACTGCAATTAGGACTGCGTATTCCAGTAAGCTTATGGAAAATGCAGTCCTAATTTCGGTTGTTGAACAACCGAAAATGGGCAAAACTCTCTTTTTTAAGCATTCACATAGCATAGACGTAGAGAGTAGAGAAGAAGAATTGTAAAACTATCGGGGCCATTTCCAGTTCTTGAACAACCGAAATTCTAGCCATTTCGGTTGTTGAACAACCGAAAAAAGGTAACAACATCTTTTATAAAAAAATTCGTTATGAAATGAAAAAAATGGACATTCAAGAAATAACATAAAGTATTTGGTATTTTGGTAATAACAGATAGTATAATAGATATATACGTAATTTTCCCTTTTCGTTATTTTCAATTTCATTTGGATATGCTTTGCTTAATCATGCTTTAATATACTTCTCATTTTTTTTGGGTTTTTTATTTTAACACTCTTTTGACAAGCCGGGACTTACCCGGTTAGGCTCGTTGAACCGGATAGTTTACAAGTTAACCAAGCAACCGGTATCGAGCCCTTGGCTAGTTTCAAAGCTTATTCGATTTTTGAACACTGCTTTGAATAGTTTCAAATGGGCAAATTGTCAAATAGTTCATTTTAAACAGGTATTTTCATAAAGGAAAAAGTTTATATAGAGCCGAGGCTCTAAACAATCAAATTAGAGCCCACCACAAAAATTTCACAAGAAGAGGTTGTTTTGATACGCAAATATCCTCAAATTATTCATGGATACGAGAAAAAATAGATTTCAAGTTTTGGAAAAAGTGCATCTTGTAACGCGTTTTTGGATCGTCAATTTCAAGATTTTCATAGATCTGCTCGATCCACACTATTTTTGAAGCTTTAAATTTTATAATTAAAGGTGAAAATATATTTTAAGGTTGTAACAAAGACTTTAAGTATTGACACCATATTTCTCGACACTATTTGAAGGTACGCCTTACTTTGATTGTTTAGAGCATTGGCTCCATACAAACCGCACACATTCATAAATTGCCATTTTGATAATTTGACACAAGTAACTCCTGCCAGAATCCAGAAATACCGTATGCTTGTCCTAGAGTTGAAGCATGCAACATATTTTTTAATCAAGAGCACCATGCATCCGGTTTTGATCCATAACAAGAAAAGGTTTTTAAGTTACTGGACCTATACAGCTTTAGTGACCAAAATATATTAATGCTTTGCTTGTGCAGACTTCCTAATATAAGCTATTACTTGGATACCTTTTAACAAAATAATTGACATATACCCAAATGATATGATTTTTTAGGAACATCACTAATTTTTTTGCAGTGGTTTGACGGATAACAAAAGGGCAAAAAAGGAAAGCAAAATTGCAAATACGCCCTTGACCATACTTTTTAGGCATATGCCCTCAGATACTTTGTAATAAAACTTTCTCACGTACCCGGATAACCCCCCAGGGATTAATTTGCAACACTTGTTATGGTCCCTTCCAATAGGGCAAGATTCAAGGCTTCAATTCAGTCCATGAGAAGAAAACACCATGAAAACTAATACCACCTTAAAAGGTACTTAACCTCACTAATTCACAATAGAGAACGCCCTACTTTCAACCACGTGAATGAGAAAGAGCTCAAGGGTGGAGATGTGAGTGAATAGTGGGCAGTGTTCGAAAAATCGAACCAGCCTTGGAAACTGGCCAAGGGCTCGGTACCAGTTATTCGTTACTAATTATAAACTGGCCGGGCAAGACCCAAACGGTCAAAAAGGGTTAAAAATATAAAAAATACAAAAAAAAATCTAAAAAATATATAAAAAGAATATTTAAAAGCATGATTAAACAAAGCACATCCAAATAAAATTGAAAATTAATGAAAATAAATCAGTTTGTGCCCAGGGGTATTTTTAAAATTTTTTAAAAAGATGAAAAAATGTAAAAAGTAAGTATTAATGGCAAAAACTTTTTCCAACTTTCGCTGAAATGATGAAAAACATTCAAAATGCATTACAAACAAGTCTCTTATTTTTGGGATTTTATATAAGTTTTTATCATTTTTTTTTTAAAAAAAATGCCTAACCTAATCACACAGACCGGTCGAAACCGGAACAAACAAATGACCAGTTCCGATCTAACCAAACGGCTCTGGTTTGAACTGCTCGATTTTGCAAACATTAATTCCAACACATGACCACATGTTTTTCATGAACATTAATTCCAACACATGACCAAATGTTTTTCATGGGTATTCTAAAAATAAGTAAAAAACAATGGGCAAAGTGTTAAATTGTTAATCTCTCATAGGTAATTTGATACATTTTCCTTACCAAAATGTTCATTCACGTTCTAGGTTACAAACCAATAATAAGTTTTATTAAAAGAATATGTTTGGAGTTTGGAAAAAGGAACAAGGAGAGTTATTTCAATCATTTGGATTGAGTGACGTAAGTTGGTCAAATTACCAAAGTGCCTTGGCTTACTTAAGGTTACAAACTGTGAAGTAATAGAAATTTGGATATTTTTTAACATGATTATTGAAGAGGTACTTTTATTAAAGGTCTTTTAAGGAAACACTTTCTTTTTTAAAAGAGATAAGTTTAATTGAGTCCTTATTCACAGGCGGTCCCTTTTGAAAAAATTGTTTTAGATGCATTTAGTTTCATTCAAGTGATGGATCTAAAATGCATCCAAAGCCACTTTAGATTCATTTTCGTCTTAGATACATGATTTTGTAGATTAAAAAATAGGAACAAATTTGATGATTTATAAAGGATTAAAATGAACGCGATAAACCGTCAAAAATTAAAGTTTAAAATATTCATTTTAAGGTTCAAACTTCAATTTTTAAATTCATAATTTTGATGGCTGAGATTATAAACTTGATGTTTTAGATCCAAAATCCACTTATAAGATGCTTTTAATAATAAAATTGTGCTTGATTGTGTGCATTGGCTTTGTGAGAAACAAGCTTTCTTTGTATTCAATCAATTGAATTAGACTACAATACGATCATAGATTTATAAAGAGGGTACAAGCAATACTTGCTAAAACTATAGGATACAGTTTCTATATGGGTGTAGTATACAATTAGATATTGACATATCTCAATATTCAGTTGCCATACTCGTTGCAATTGCCATATCTGTTCACATTCTCTCTCAAACTTAAGATGATTTGAAAGGAATCATTGAGAGTTTGGACACAAATTGTGAGAAATAATACGATGGATGAGACTTAGTAAACAGTGGGAGAGTTGTGCTGTAGTGAGCACATATGGTAAGAAATGATGCATGTTGGATATTCTTGTGGAACATAGTGGCAATCGACTTCAATATGTTTCGTGCGTTCATGGAACTCCGGATTTTTGAAAATGTAAATAGCACTCTTGTTGTCACAATAAAATGGAGTAGGAGTAGAGATAGTGACACCCATGTCTTCAAGCAGCAAACATAGCCAAACAATCTTGGCGGTGGTTTGTGTATAACCCAGTATTCAACTTCCCTAGTTGATTGAGCAATAAGTTTATGTTTCTTGCTTTTCCAAGAGATTAGAGAGTCCCCGAGAAAAATGTAAAATCATGTGGTAGATTTGTGATCACTCAGATTCCCTACAAAATAGGAGTCTGTATAAGCCCGGAGCTCAAGTGAGGTAGAGGAGGAGAAAAACAAAGCTGGGTGATGGGTATCCCTGGTATAACGAATAATGTGCAAAAATCAACGAGATGTACAGAACGATGAGCACTTAAAAAATGACTAACCATATGAACTGCATAAGCAATATCATACCGTGAAATTGTCAGATATATCAATTTCCCAACCTGTTGTCTATAAAAGGTTGGGTTAGGAAGAGCTTCTCCATCTGTAGCCTGAAATTTTACATTGAACTCAAGAGGGGCATGAGCTCTCTTTGTATCATTCTTTAGTCGAGCTTGAGAAACAATCTCATAAGCATATTTTAGATGTGACAACAGATAGCCACGAAGAGAATAAGCAATTTTTAATTCAAGGAAATATCGCAAGAAACCCAAATCTTTCATTTCAAATGTGTTATTGAGCTTCTGTTTGATTTTGTGAATTGTACCCATACCAGAGATAATCATGTCATCCACATATAGTAGCAAGATAACTCTTCCTTCAGGAGTTTCAGACATAAAGATGGTTGAGTTATGATGATTTTGTCGAAATCCAACAGAAAGAACTTCATTACAAAATTTCTCAAACCAAGCACGAGGTGTTTTTTGAGTCTATATAAGGCCCGTCGAAATTTACATACTCGTTTTTCAGAATCCATAACGCCATGAGTTAACTTCATATATACTTCCTTATCAAGATCACCATTGAGAAAAACATTTTTGACATCTAATTGATATAGAGGCCATTGTTGAACAGAAGCTACCGAGATCAGTGTACAAACAATAGTTATATGGGCGACAGGAGCAAAGGTTTCCGCAAAGTCGATGTCATATTGTTGATTGTAACTTTTTGCTACAAACAAGCTTTGTATTGCTCAAGGCTGTTATCTACGTTGATTTTAATTTTATAGACCCAGTGACAACCTACAACAGTTTTTCATTTCGAGAGAGATGTCAGGTCCCAAGCATCCATGCGCTCGAGAGCATTCAACTAATTAAACATTGTTTGTTGTCACTCAAGTTCACTTGCAGCTTCTTTGTAAATTTGAGGTTCAGAATAAGAATGAACAGAAGCAAGGAATGCTTGGTGTTGAGGTAAAAAGGTTTCATAATCAGCAAGTCGGGCATGTGGGATAGAGAGCTGGGTGCTCCATCTAAGTGCAGGGGCGACAGAGGATCAGCAAATGCAAGGTCTGATCAGGATTGTCAACATGAGTTGGTGGAGTTCCTTCCTGGGTTTCAGATGGAGGGACACGAGTGAAAAAGACTAGAAGAATTGGGAACAAACTCAGAAAAGGGGACCAAGAAAGAAATATGAGATGATGAATGATCATGTTGATTATCAAATAATTGAATATGTTAAGAAAACACCACATGTCAGATGCTCAAAGTCTTTTGGTCATAAGGTCATAGCATCGATATCCCTTTTGATGATCAAGGTAACCTATAAAGCAACATTTAGCCATTTTTTTTAGATAACTTATCTCTCTCAGTTGGGGTGGAGGGGGTAATAATACAAAGCAAATGCAACAAAAAAAATGTAGGAGGGAATAATTAGGTGATCGTGTAAACAATTTTTGAGAAGGTGTTTACCAGATATAATGGAGGATGGCATGATGTTGATGAGAAAAATTGTTGTACGAATAGCTTCTGTCGAAAAAAATTTGGAACAAAAGTAGACAAAATAAAGGATCTTATCTTTTCTAAGATATGACGATTTTTACGTTCGCCAACACCATTTTGTTCTGGAGTGTAAGAACAAGTTTTATGGTGTTGAATACTTTTATTAGCTAAAAACTGTTGAAATAAATCGCTAATATATTCCCCTCTAGAATCTGAGCATAGGTATTAAGTCGCATAATTGAGAATAGAATAAGAACAAGGTTCTGCATTTCCATTGAGAGAATATCGACATATATACAACGTACATACTAGAATTACTGCAATAATTAAGGAGCCAAATTTGGGATATACATTAATGCCTAATATTGCTATGAAGAGATTCTTGAGATTGCGGCTACAAGTATGGTATATTGCTATGAACAAATTCCTAAGATTGCGGCTACAAGTATGGTAAGACTCCCCTTCAAAGCACATGCAAAAAAAAAAACATGGGAGGAAATAATCAGGTGATCATGTAAACAATTTTTAAGAAGGTGTTTCACCAAATATAATGGAAGATGTCATGATGTTGATGAAAAAAATTGTTGTACGAATAGCTTCTGCTGAAAAAAAATTTGGAACAAAAGTAGACAAAACAATAGATCTTATGGTTTCCAAGATATGACGATTTTTACGTTCTCCAACACCATTTTGTTCTAGAGTGTAAGGACAAGTTTTATGGTGTTGAATACTTTTATTAGCCAAAAACTGTTGAAATAAATCGCTAACATATTCCCCTCCAAAATCTAAGCGTATGTATTAAGTCACAAAATTGAGAATAGAATGAGAACAAGGTTCTGCATTTCCATTGAGAGAATATCAACATATATACAACGTACATACTAGAATTACTGCAATAATTAAGGAGTTAAAATTGGGATATATATTAATGCCTAATATTGCTATGAACAGATTCTTGATATTGCGGCTGCAAGTATGGTATATTGCTATGAACAGATTCCTAAGATTGCGGCTACAAGTATGGTAAGACTCCCCCTCAAGTTGGAGCGTGTAGGTTGTAAACGCCCAACTTGGATTTTAGAAATTGAAGGAATCACGGCCAAGAGATTTTGTAAATATGTCTACAAGTTGTTGGCTTGATGAAATCTTCATGGGCCGAATTAATCCTGTTGTAGCTTCTCATGGATGACATGGCAATCGATTTCTATGTGCTTAGTGCACTCATGGAAAACGGGGTTTGCAGCAATATATAGAGCTGCCTGGTTGTCACAGTAAAGTAGTGTGGGAGTGGATAGAGGGATGTCAAGATCTTGTAGTAATGGATTGTTTGTTTGTCTTCCAAGAGATGAGACTAGACCCAAGGAGTATGCAATAGCCTATGGTGGAGCAGCATGTCATAGGACTACTTGCCCAGTCATAGTCACAGTAAGCACGAAGGCAAAGAGATTTCTAAGAGGAGAAAAACAGGCCTTGACCCAGAGTAGCCTTTAAATAACGGAGCAACTGGTAAGCGGGGCATCAAGGTGAGGTTAGTGCATAAATTGACTGATAATGTTGACAGTATGCACAATGTCTGGCCGAGTAATAGTGATGTAAATGAGGCGTCCAATCAGACGCCGGTATAGAGAAGGATCAGGACGAATATCACGTATCGTATTAGAGAGTTTCAAATTTTGTTCCATTAGGAGGTTTATGGTTTTACAACCAGACATGCCAGAATCCGTGAGGATGTCTAAAGGATATTTGTGCTGACGAAGATAAATACCATGCTGCGAACGAGCGACCTCAATACCGAGAAAATATTTCAGGGGACCTAGATCCTTGATATGAACCCGTTGATGAAGAAGTTGTTGAACAACTTGAATCAAGGATGCATTAGAACCAGTGATGATAATATCATCCACATAAACAAGAATGAAAACCGAACCTGCTTGCCGCTAGAGAAAAAATAATGAATGACCAGCTTGTCAAGGAGAGCACTTGAAAATTTGGAAAACCAATTTCGTGAGGGTTGTTTGAGGCCGTATAAGGATTTATGTAGTCGGCAAACCAAGTTCTCACAATATCCAGGTGGGGAGGACATGTAAACTTCTTCATCAAGGTCGCTATGGAGAAAGGCATTGTGAACGTCCAGTTGATGTAAAGGCCAGTCATGGGCTATGGCGACAGCAAGAAGAACTCGAACGGTAACAAGCTTTGCTACAGGTGCAAAGGTATCATGGTAATCAATGCCTTCAACTTGTGTGTAGCCTTTAGCAACAAGACGCGCCTTGTAGCGCTCAATTGTACCATCAAATATCCTTTTGATTTAATAGACCCATTTGCAACCAATGGGTTTCTTGCCATCTGGTAATGGAACTACGGACCAAGTTTTGTTATTGGAGAGAGCAACAATTTCAGCTTACACAGCATCACGTCATTCATGAAATTTCATAGCTTCGGCAAAAGTGGGTAGGTTCTTGGATTATAGCTAAAGATGTGAGAAAAGATAAGTATGATGAATTAAAATTACTGTAAGATAAAAAATGTTGAAGAGGGTGGTTTGTACCTGAGCCAGCAGCCAAAGAGGGAGATTGAGACTGGGCAATGGAGCAATAGTAGTCTTGAAGGAAAGTGGGTTGCTTCCGAGTACGGGTGGAATGACGAAGGGGAGGGTGATTCTGGGGAGAGGGTGATGGGGCAATGGTAGTATGGGTCTAATCCTGGTTGGTTAGCGTGTAGTGAGGTGGTGGTTGTGTGGAAGAGATGTAGGGGTCCTCATGGTCAACGGGTGGTAGGGGAAGAACAGAGAAATTATTGGTTGGTGAAGGGAGAAATGTATACGGAAAGATGTGTTCATGAAAAATTACATACCAAGTGACGTAGATTTTCTTGGTAGGAATGTCAACAATTTTGAAACCTTTCTCGCCATGAGGGTATCCAATAAATATGCCAGGTGAAGCATGCTTGTCAAATTTATGTTGGATGGATGTATTGCGACCAAAACATAAACATCCAAAAACCCTTAAATGAGAGAAACAAGGTGGTCTTTGAAAAAGAATTTCATGCAGGGTTTTACCATGAAGTACCGGTGTGGGTAGGCAGTTGATTAGGTTACGGCAGTCAATGCACATTCACCCCAAAAATTTAAAAGTAAGTGAACTTGAAAACGAAGTGCATGAGTAATATTAAGGAGGTGGCGGTGTTTACGCTCCACAACGCCATTTTGTTGAGGAGTATCAACACAACTTGATTGTGGAACGACACCCAATGAGCTAAAAAAATCAAGATTTGATTTATTAAAGAATTCAGTGCCATTGTCGGATCTAATTTGCCGAATGTGAGTGTTAAATTTGCGTCTTCACCATAGCAAAAAAATATGAAATAAGTCTAGGAACTTCAGATTTATGCCGCATTAAAAAAATCCATGTACTACGAGAGAAGTCATCAACCACAGTTAAAAAATAACGAGCACCAGATACAGATAATTTCTGATAAGGTCCCCAAACATCCATGTAAAGTAATTCAAAATAGGAATTAGAAGAAATATGACTAGTACTAAATGGCAACCAAGACTGTTTTTCAAGATGACAAACAGTACAAGTGCATTTATTTGAGAGATGAATACCATCATCTAGGGCCTTCAAATTTGAGGATAAGGAAAGGGCTGGGTGGCCTAGAGGCCAATGCCAGAGGTCAAAATGAGATCCATGAGTTGCAGTGGAAGCAAAAGGTGAAGAGTGCTATAAGAAATAAAGACCACCATGTATGTTACCTGTCACAATGACCGTCTTCATCCGCAGGTCTTGAAAGACACAAGAGTTAGAACAAAAAGGTGACAGGATAATGAGAATTATCAGTGAGTTTGCTGATGGAAAGCAAGTTGAAGTGAAAAGAAGGAACATGCAAGAAATTATTGAGTGTAAGGTCAGAAAAAAGTGTCATTGTTCCGATGTGTGCAACAGGAGCATGAAGACCATTAGGGAATTGAATAGATGATGAATGAGTGGGTGTGGTGTACGCGAAAAATAGTGACAAATCAGAAATCATGTGATCAGTGGCACCTGAGTCTATAATCCAAGTAGTTGATTAGAGAGGTTAGAGAGAGAGAACGAAGATTTGAGAGTTTAGACAGATCTAGAGAGACTGCAAGAATACTAATGAGAGAGAGAGAGAGAACAGAGATCGAGAGAAATCCAATCAAATATCAAAGAAACGAAAGGGCAAGAGAAGTACCGTAAGAAACTCAATCAGAGATTAGAGAAACCCAGGTAGATTGTAGATGACCAAACAGAGCCGAGTTTTCACAGATTGTAGAGAAGGCCCAAGCACTGATCACAGAAGACTCAAGCCAGATCGCAGAGAGTTGGCTCTGATACCATGTGAAAAACAATCTGTCTCTGTAATCAATCAATTAAATTAAACTGCAATACAATCGTAGATTTACAGAGAGGATACAGGCAATACTTGCTAAAACTATAGGATACAGTTTCTATATGGGTGTAATATACAATTAGACACTTACGGATCTCAATATTCAATTGCCATATCTTTTGTAGTTGTCATATCTGTTTAGAAAGTAACCACCCTTCTTAAAAAATAACCATTCTATTGCTAAATTTTTTTATTGAACTATCTTAATGATTTTTAAAGTGAATTAACCATTTCTTTGATGTATTTTGACATTTTCAATGGATACTTTTTTGAAAATATGATAAGATCTGAACTGTGGATGTATGATGAATATGTAGCTTGTTGATGGTGGCAATGGCTTTTGAATGCAAAGGTCTTTCACATGAAATTGAGCCGCCAATGAGGTCTCATTTATTGTGTTCAAAGTTTGAGGTATTCTTTATCTCAAATTTTGTGCTGAGAAATGACATATTATTAAACAAAGTATATCCAAGGACAAGGTTTCTAGACTCATGTGGAAATGAGTCCCCTCTTGAAAATTTATTTTTTATATAGATTTTGAACCTATTTTTAAGGAATATATAATTTGCTAATAAGGTTTTAAAAATTGGCAAATTGGATCGAAACTGGCTGGTTTGGATCAAGAATTATTGAGGCTAGTATGGTAACCAGCAGGTTGGTTCTAGCCAGTTTTTTTATAGAACTGGCTGGTTATGTCAAAGAACTACTCCCACTTTATTTTTAATATTTTACATTTTTTTGTTCCATAATTTTAAAATTTTTTATTTACCAGTTCACTAGGCAGAGACGAATGGGATTGCCAATTCAAATGTGTTTCCTAAAGGCGCAATCGGGTCACCGAACTATGTTTTTAAATCTTGATCTCGAACATAGAGATCATGAATATATAAATAGTAATAATAATAATTTTTAAATATTAAAATGTAATTTTATTTAAACGATTGATTTTAGGGTGCGGTTTGTATAGGGCTAAGACTCTAAACAATCAAAGTAATGCGCACCTTCAAATAGTGTCGAGAAATGTGGTTTTAATACTAGAAAACCTTGTGATAGCCTTAAAATATATTTTCATCTCTAATTATAAAATTTAAAGCTTAAAACATAGAGTAGATCGAGCAAATCTATGAAAAACTTGAAAATTGACGGTCCAAAAATGTGTTACAAAATGTACTATTTCCAAAACTTGAAATCCATTTTTTTCTCATGTCCATGCATCTTGAGGTACAGATGATCAATTTAAGGATATTTGGGCATCAAAACAATCTCTTTTAGTGAAAGTTTTTGAGGTGGGCTCTAATTTGATTGTTTAGAGCCTCGGCTCTATATAAACTATTTCCAAAGATAAAATGGTATCATTGTATACTTTTCCATAAAAATATACTTTTCTCATTGTTTATGAAATTTGAAGCTCTAAAGTTAGTACAAAGCTAATGGATATGTAAACACTTGAACACATGAATATCTTGAAAGTAGACGGTCCATATAACATCTTTCAAAAAGCACCATTTTGGGAATTTGAAATCATATCTTTTTTTTATATATATATTCATACATCTCAATGTGGAGATGTTTCCAACTTTAAACAATTTTTTTAGGTGCATTTTAATTCTACATTTTAAAGGTACAACCTTATATAAACTTTTTCCTTATTAAAATACTCAATCTCCAAAGTGGATACAAAATCAACTATTTTTAACAATACTCAAGTTCAAAAGTTGATGCCGAAATACCTTAAAGGTGGTCTTTAAATTCTGAGAGTAAGTGCACAGTGTACTCCTGCAGGAGTACCTTATACATGCGCAAGGTTTCAACCTTAAAAAATCAAAATGACATGCACCTCTAATTCTTGCTGTGACCCGTTCTTGTGCCATAAACCCTTAAGGTCACCTAAAAAATTTATTTTCACTCATAATTATAAAAGGAAAGAGTTTATGTAGAGCCAAGGCTCTAAACAATCAAATTAATGCACACCTCAAAAATTTCACTAAAAGATGTTGTTTTGATGCCCAAATATCCTCAAATTGATTATCTCGACATCAAGATGCATGGACGTGAGAAAAAATAGATTCCAAGTTTGGAAAATAATGCATCTTGTAACGCATTTTTTGACTGTCAATTTTCGAAATTTTCAAGTTTTTACAGATATGCTTGATCTACACAATTTTTAAAGTTTTAAATTCTATAATTAAATATTAAAATATATTTTAAGGCTATCATAAAGATTTCCAGTACTTAAACCACATTCTGGACACTATTTGAAGGTGCGCTTTTTTTTCTATTGTTTAGAGCTTTAGCTCTATAAAAACCGCAACCATTATAAAATTTAAAAGTCCAAAAATGGCTTAGATCATGTAGATCTAAAAACACTTAGTTTTTTTAAAAAAATGGCGGTCCATATAATACGTCATAAGATATGTTATTTTTAGGATTTATTATTTATTTTTTATATCTATAATTCTCGAGATTGAGATAATCAATCATAACGTTTTTCTACACCTAAACAACTTTTTCAAATGGAATTTTGAGATGCACCTCAATTTTACAGTATAAAAATAAGGAAAAATTACAAAAACCCCCCAAAGTAAAGTATCTATGTAGCTTACCCCCAGCTAACCTTTCCTCTCATTTTTTTTTCCCACAATCACCTTTCCTTGCAACAACCCCCAATGTAAAATGTTGTTATTTTTTGGATGGAAATGCCCTTCCCTACAAAAAAAAAAAAGTCAATTGGCAGTCCCAAGTAGCGTATTGCAGGAGCGACCAATTCAACCGCCGGAGCGATGTGGCTGCAAAAGGTGTATTGTTGGAGCGCGTATTTGTACTGCCGCAGCGCTTGTCTGTATTGCCGGAGCGACCTATTCAACCCCCGGAGTGTTGTGGCACCAGAAGGTACACTGCCGGAGCGCATCTTTGTACTGCCGGAGCGTGTGTTCTCATTGCTAGAACAACCTATTCAACCGCCGGAGCGCTATGGCTCCAAAACGTGTACTGTCGGAGCGAGTCCTTGCATTGCCGAAACGCGTGTCTTCATTATTGGAGCGTTTAAATGGACTGCCAGAGCACATGGGGAGAGAGTCGTGGGTAAAAGCCATGAGGAGATAGGGGGTAGTTTAGTCATTTTTTTCTTTTGTTTTGAATTGAGGGGGTTTTTGCAAGAAAAGATGGTTGTGGGGAAAAAACTGAGAGAAAAGATTAGCTGACGGGTCAGTTGTACAGTATACTTGAAGAGAGTTTTTATAATTTTTCCTAAAAATAACCCCCCACATAAATTCCTTCATTCAATTGATTGAGAGAAGGGTACTTTTTGGAGTCATTATGGAGCCAAGAAAAAAGGATACATCATGTGCCAAATCTCACAAGGACATGAGTGAAAGAAAAGGCAATTGACACATAGAGAAGGCCTAAAAGTTATGGAGAGAGAGATAAGGCCAATGAGGTCCGAATTATATATTATTTCATGGTCATACATGTCGGTATCTCGATATCGAGATGATCAATTACAAGGTTTTTAAACATTAAAACAATTTTTTTTAATTGATTTTTGTGGTACATCTCGAGTTCCGCATTATAAAGTTGCAACCTTATAAAAACTTTTTCCTTATTCGATTGAGGACAAACTCGTTCTTTCTTCAATTAGGGGGTGTATTTGTTTTCTCTTTCATTGACGGCAAATTTTGTTTGCTAAAAATCTCAAAATTGAATATATATTTTAAAAATAATTTACCAGAATATTCTATATAAATATTGTAATTATCAAAATTCTCCTTAATTTTTATATATTAGGCATATATTCCTTTTGGCGCTTTTTGTTTTTTTTTTCTAATTTTTCTTTCACTCTAGATATTGAAACCGAGGTCTCTTTGACTAAGGATTTTCTAAATCCTAAGTCGCTTTGGGTTTTTTTCTTTTTACCTAAAAAATTGAGTTTTTAAGAAACCCAAAATGACTGGATTTTGGAAACTTCATATTTTCAAAATTTAATGTCACTTGGGTTTTGTTTTTACTTAAAATTTTGAATTTTTGAAAAATTCAAAGATAACTAGGGATATTAAAAATCCAAAGTATGAGGGCAATTTTTTTATTTTTTAAAAAAAGGGCCAAAAGATGTACGGGGGCTTGGTGTAATTACACATGACATACATAAACTAATGGGGCTTGTTGTAATTACAATATTTATATGGAATAACGGGTAAATTTTTCTATTTTAAAATTTTGTGTATAAGTTCATGTCTTTTTTTTATTGATTCAAAACTAGCAATGCTAAACTATTGCCTTTGGCACCAATTTGGAGCTTGCTAGCTCTAAACTCATGTTTTGTACAGTGTTCGAATTTTAAGGTATCGATAAAAACATTGATTCGGAACTACTTGTTCCAAACTAAGGGTATCTTGAGAAAAAATATGAAAAATAAAACAGAATATCAAAAATTTTATATAAAGTGTCAACTTTATACTAAGTAAGATGCGCATCAGAATTCGATTCGAAAAGATTGTTCCGATATTGAAAGCCTTACAGTTTATCATCACGACTTCAAGATATATAAATATAATAAAAAAATTTGTCCTAAAATAAAGCGCCTTGCATCGCATTATCGATTTATTTTCATATTTTTTAAGTATTTATAGATGTACTTGATCTACATCATTTTCCGCCTTTCTTAGATCTACATCAATTTCCCCTATCTTATGCTAAATTTGTTTTGAAGGCAAATTCTGCAAAATAATATTGATTTCCAGGTTTTCTTTTTTCATTTTCATTTTTTATTCGACCATTTGATCTGAAATTTTATTCATAGATTGCTTTTACAATCATTTTTCAACAAAAAAAAGTGTTACACGTGAATTCACACTGCACAAAATCAATCCCCAATTCCATCCATCTCTAGATCTGCTTTGCTTCGATCCGCAACTGATTCTCCTTTCAAATTGAAGTGCATCGTGTATTTCTCTGTAAATTGCAGAGGAAGGAAGGAATAAAACTTGAACACTAAAGCTCTGCAACTCTTTGAAAGGCCTGCAACTCTTGAGGGGAAAGAGGAAAGGAAGAGGGACAGAAAAGGATGGAGTCCTCTTCTTCTCCCACCATGCGGGGGAGCAAGAATGGCGGAGAAGAAGAGCTATCATCACCCCGCCTAATACAATCAACCCTAAGCCCTAGAAAACTCGAATCGAGCAACTTCCATTGCTGTGATTCCTCGAACTCTTGTAGCAGCACCGACAACGTGGCGGAGGGCGTGAGCCAGCGGTTCGATTCGATGGATGCGCTCGAGATCTTGCGAGAGACGGTGAGGATCCTCCGCTGCAAGTCCTCGGCTTTCATGACCATAGTTGCCGTGCTCATATGCCCTGTCTCCGCCATCCTCTTGTCCGACGCCCTGGTCTTCGACCGCTCCCTCGTCAAGAGCGTCTCCCTTCGCCTTCTCTCTCTGGCCATCTCTAGTGGGATCCCGCCGACCCTATTCTTGAAGCAGTCGTGCCGGAGGGTCTCGGAGATGCTTGTGTCCTCTGCATTTTGTTTCCCTCTCTTCATCACCCTCTCTCTCCTCTCGAAGGCAGCAATTGTGTACTCGGTCGCCTGCACCTACTTCGGTAAGCAGCTCTGGCTATCCAAATTTTTTGCAACAGTTGCCAAGATTTGGAGGAGACTCGTATCGACCTATTTGTTGAACTGTGCTGCCATTTTGGGATGCGTGGTGCTTTTTGTGCTGGTCCTCACCACTGTATGCAACATGTTTGTTATAATGGGGGTGCCATCGAGTTTGATAATTTACCCAGCTTTCGGGTTGGCGGTAGCATTCTCGGTGGTTTTTGCTCATGTAATCATTATATGCAATTTGGCTAATGTCATTTCGGTTTTGGAGGATCTTTCAGGCCCTCGGGCTTTTCTTAGGGCGGTGTTTTTGATCAGGGGACAGACCCAAGTTGGTCTTTTGATATTTCTTGGATCGACCATTGGGATGGCTTTTGTGGAGGGACTGTTTGAGTACAGGGTGAAGACCTTGAGCTATGGCGATGGGTCTTCAAGGATATGGGAGGGGCCACTGTTGGTGGTGATGTATTCTTTTCTGGTGCTTATCGATTCTATGATGAGCGCGGTGTTCTACTTCACATGCAGGTCATCTAGCTTGGAAACACTTGATTCCGATGACCATGATGCACCAGTAGTGGAACCCATGAGATGTTTCCCTCTGTCTCTTTTTAGCCATTGATACTTGGTGATTATCTCGTGAGGTTGTCATTTTGGGCTGCATTTGCCATGGTTGATACATGGACGTGATGTTGCCTTTGGCGCGATGGCTGTGACCTCCTATTGTCCTTCAGCTTGATGAAAATGATGGCCTGTGATTGCTGCATTGGCTGGATAGTAGAATGGATGCTCCTCTTGTTAACTCCTTTTCTTTGTCATGTTATGTGGGGCAAAGTTGCTGAGAGATAACTTGAAGGCTTTGGATTGAAATAAAAGAGAGGAAATCACTGATCGAGAGGAAAGAAGAAGAACAATTCCTAATTCGATGTTTTGTATTCTTTTTTACTCCATTTTCTTCGTTCTCTCCAAATTCTATACACATGTTACCTCTTTCATGAGGATCTATAAGGTGCTTCCTTCTTTTCATGGTAAGCACTCTTCAAATCCTATATTCTCATTTGTGAGACAATAATGGAATCGAATTGCATTTCCTAAGCATGTAGTTAGCTTTATGCATTCTAGCACTGATGCATCCTATTTTGTTCCACGCTAGGAGGTTTTGTTTCTAGTTCTCTATATCTTATTCGAGCATACAATGAGATGAGCCTTGCCTCATGTCTATTTAATTCATTGTTGTGAGCAAACGTAGGAAACTAGTCACTGCCTTTAAGATTTGAATTTCAAAATATTTAATTTGATGGCGATGCACAGCAATAGAGGTTTTATTTTTCCCTTAGCATGGTCTTTTATTGCAAAGTTGTAAGTGACTTTCAACTGTTTGCTAATTGCAATCCATCTTGCACTGACAAGACATCCAAAGATGCATTTGTTTATTGTTGGTTTTCAAACATAGCTCCTTGACTTTTGTTCCAAATAAATATGCTCTATTCCACAATGTATCCAACTGCTTTAGGAACCTACCCTTGTTACGATAGTCTTTCTTATCTAGCTGTCCTGCTACAGGTTTCTTGCATCCATCTCAAAGATCTTCTTCCACGTATTGATTTTCCTTTTTAACATGTCTCAGACTCAGCTCCCTAGATAATTCGAAACTAGATCATCCTTCTCTTAACAACTGTATTAACCTCTTAGAAATTCCAAAAATCTATGACACTTTACCTGCATTAAGTTATCCTATAATAGCAACCAGTATCTGCATACAACCTTTTGTTATAGGTAAGACGGAATTTGCCTCCATGCACATGAATCTTTCCAATAGAAGGGAGGGCCACACATGATGTTATTCCATTCTATGTAAAACAATGCTTAACATCAGGAATTTTTTTCTTTGTATTTGAAAAATTTTGAGTTGCTATCCAGATGGTTGTCATGTATATAGGGCGACGAGCAGATACCAAATGTAGATAAGTTATATTGAATAAAAATATGAAAGGTTTTGGAGCTCTGTGAGTAGTTACTCGGGGTCTGGGAGATTTTTAGTGAGATGTATGGCTGTTATTTGGTCTTTCATGTTGCATTTCTGGTGGGCTATTTGATTTTTGCTTCGACATTGTAGAAGTTGCAGATTCTGGCTGAATAAGTAGCACAATGATGCACCCTGGTGGGCATCAGTTCCCTACTCTCTGTAGGTTTCTGCGAGGGAATTCAACTTGTTGTGAATGATAGAAGATGCATGCTTTAGTTGTTTCGGTGTTGATCCTTTAGGGGATCAGTTCAATAAAACATGTGCCCTCGCAGCTCTAAAAGGGCAAGGGAAAGGCCCAAAAGGACATCGATGGAAGCAGTGATAAAAGATATGGGGACTTAAAGTTTTAATGAGGGTATGTCCCTTGATAGAGCAGAATGGTGGAACATGATTCGGATAGCCGACCCAAAATAGTTGCGATAAGGCTTTGAAGATGATGTGCCCTCACAAGAATATATCGCTGAGCAATGTTTGGAAATTTGCAATCATGGTGGGGAATCGGCAATCTGGATCTGGTTGAGTTGGTGACCAACCTAGCTCCTTCACAAAACCGGAAATCACTCTAATTGAGACATTTAGAGAAGTTAGATCGTAATGTTTTGTTCTAATCAGGGCATAAAAAATAGGTTGTTAGTGGAGCAACCCCATAAATGGGAATTACAGTTTCATGTCCTTCTGTTTTCAGGCAATAGAAGTAGTTCCATTGATTAACTGGGTAATGGTGGGTTCACTTTAGGATGGTTTAGGACGACTGTATTAATTTGTATTAGTTTGGGTAGAACACAGTTTTGAGAAATTGGGAATTTTAGTAGTCAATCTTTATTTAAAAAACAAAAAAATTGGGGACTTTGTGCTTTTCATAGCAAGGATAGTTGTAAAATTTTACATGAAGATGTGTATTGAGATGTTAAATTAAAAATAAATAAATAAAATGAAGAATATGTAACAAACCTTTTCAAAAAATGACCATCCAAGCCTCTACATTTTCTTCTGTAAATTTTGTAACAGCCATGAGATTGAGAAATATCTTTGTGGAATTTAACTATACTTCCCAATGATATAATTAGATTGTGCATTCAAACACGGATACATCCTATTTTGTTCCAACCCACGCATGCAGATTTTGTTTTTAGTTTTGCATATCTTATTCTACCCCGCATTGAGATGATCCTTCCCTCTTGTATTTAATGTCCATGCTTCTAAGCAGACTTAGGAAACTAGTTCACTGCTTTTAATCTAGGAATTTTGAAGGTTTTTTTTTTTTTTAATGAAACTGTCAACATTGTATTAAGAGAAGATAAGTTACAAAAAATACCCCAAGGTCACCTGAGAGAGGTGACAAACTGAAACAAACAACCTAGGTTACTACGAAAATTAAAGCTTTATTTTGAAGTTTTTAATTTTAATGGCCATGCACAATAATAGAATCTTCTCACATATTGCAAAATTCTATGTTCACTTTCAACTGATTACTATTTGCAATTCATATTGCACTCTCAAAACATCCAAAGAAGCATTTGTTTCTCCTAGGTTTTAAACCATCGTGTCCTGTTGCAATCAAGTTTGCTCTGTCCTATAATTTTTCCGTATTCATATCATCTATATATATCTGCCTCTCCTGCTTGATGATTCTTGCATCCATCTCAAAGTTCTTGCACCTATTGATTTTCCTTTCTAACTCAGCTCCCTGGATAATTGGACACATAATAGATCATCCTTTTCTGAACAACTGTATTAACCTCTCTCAAAGTTAAAAGGAAACCATGACATTTTACCTGCGTCACACCAAACCATAATGGCAAACCGGATCTGCATACAGTCTTCTGTTATCGATAAGATGGCATTTGCCTCCATCCACATGGATCTTGCCATTAGAAGGGAGACCCCTGCATGATGGTAATTGACTCATTCAATTTTACGTAAAACATTTTTGATTTTTTTCTTTTCTAATTTAAAAAAATTGGAATGTTATCTAGATGTCTGTCATTATAGGAGCAGATACTAAGGTTGATAGGTGATATTGGGATCTAAGGCTGGTTTTTGGGCTTTCAATGTGTGATGCTGTCGGATTATTTGGATTGTGCTTGGATTATAGAAGTTGCAGATTTGGGCACTAAAGTAGCATATTATGGGCATCTGTTCGCTGCTATATCAGGGTTTCTGTTAAGGAATTTGAACTGTACATGGTAGAAGATGCATGCTTTAACATTTAACTGGATGGGTGGTGTAGAGATGGTCCCCATAACATGCGCCCATGGCAAGGAATATGGGTCCGAGAGTGAAGTGATTTCTTGAGGTTGAAGTGCAGATCATGGATTCTGCCCTTGCTATTGGATTTTGACAAAAGAGATGAGTGATGAGACCCTCAGCCCTCAATATACCTCCCAGTGTTTATCTTATTGAAGGCAAAAAGAAAGGAAATATTAGTTTGGGAGGTTTGGAGAGAAACATTTGTGAAAAGAAGATCCTAAATTTTTGTCTAGTTTTGGGCTTTCGAAATAGGCTGCTATTGGAGGTTGCCCCGTAAATGCGGATTGCAATTGCACATCCAGTCTGTTTTCAGGGAGGTAGAAGTAGTCCCTGTGGTTAATTAGGTGATGTCGGTTCACTTCAAGGATGGGTTTAGAATGATTCTTTGTACATGGCATTGAGCCAAAAGAAACAAGTTGGTAGTGGATGTGCTTCTTTGACTGTCAACAAATACTTGCAAACCTTGAGATTACAGCAAGACCTCCCCAGCCCGATGTCCTCGAGTGTTCAAGTTTGTGCTTGTTTTTATAGGCTACAATTTTGAGACATTCGTGATTTTAATACTTCCCTTTTATTCACAAAACAAACAAAAAAAGAGAAGGGGGGGGGGGGGTATGTGTTAAGCTTTTTAAAGCAAGGGTAGTCATGTAATTTTGCATTAACATGGTGTATTAAGATGCTATCTTTAAGCATATAAACTAAAACTGGTATATGTATCCAATCTTCTCCAAAAGTAAACCCTCTAAGCCAACCTTTTCTTTGGATTACAATTATTCATCGCAGTTTTAGGAAGTTATCTATAGATTTTTTCCTATTTTGAATACAAATTCTCTCTAAAAATTATGCCAAATACTATAAATTTTCAGACATCCAATTTCTATATTCTTTCTATGTAAATTTTGTATCAGTTATGAGATTTGAGAGGTTATCTGTTTGGTAAATGGGAAACAAACTGTTAGGAAGGATTTGTATCAGATTTGAGAGGATCTTTTGAGAGGTATTATTATATTATTATCATTATTATTTTATAATCAGGATGCTAGTATAGCCAGGTCGAGTTTTTCTTTTGTATTCTTTCTCTGTTTCTCTTTTTTTTTTTTCGTTACATGGGGTGGTTAGCATATTTCATATTTAGCAGTTTCGTGGATCTCCGAATGGATTTCATCAGGCATCTAAGTCCTGACGTCAGACCTCTTACTGACTGATTTTCCTCCTCACAAGAGTCTTATATACTTTGATGGCTGTCCCAAAAGGGATCAATGGATGCCCAGACTCTGGAGATCATTGAAGGTGAATGGAGAGATATCTTTCGGTATTATACATCACCTTCTAGGTTCCGGGCTTTGCTTGGTTCTTTTTGAGTAGCCTGCTTAAATGGCTTACCTTGTAGTTGTCTTTGGCAGGTAACAGGAGATCGAACCCCAGGCTACAATGTTGCAGCCCTTAGTCAAGAGACCCAACCCCTAATTGTTATGTAAGTGTTGTTCGTCGAATTTTTGTTGTGCCAGGTATATTAGGGCATCAACTCTCTGGGGTAAAGCCAGAAATTCAGGTGACTAGGAGATGAAGGATATATCTTTTGTGAATTTAAAACCAAGCCTTCTCATTGATTGCACCATTTTGTGTCCTTTTCATCAGCTATGCCCTATCAACCATTTTATCAGTCAAATAGCCCTTTTTTAATAGGCAAGGAAAAGGAAATGCATAAATCTGATAAATTTACATACTTTAAATATTGGCAGAGTGTGAGTAGCCCTGAGACAATCACATTCCCTCCTTTGTGGTCTCTATTGTCAGCATCTTCGCCATGACCTGAAAA